CCGCCCGCCGCCAGCGGAGGGAGAGAGAGGGAGTGGAGCCGGGAGAGAGAGGGAGCGCGAGAGAGGGCGGGAGGGAGGGGACGGTGCCTAGGCTGACTTTTTTTTTAAGAGGGTGGGGGTGGGGGCTGATTGCTGGTCGTTTGTTGTGGCTGTTAAATTTTAAACCGCCATGCACTCGGCTTCCAGTATGCTGGGAGCCGTGAAGATGGAAGGGCACGAGCCATCCGACTGGAGCAGCTACTACGCGGAGCCGGAGGTAAGCGCTTGCCTTTGCCAGGGGGAAGTGGGGTGGCGGCATTCGCCGCGTCCCCAGCCTCGGCACGCTCCCCTCGCGGGCACCCGCCCCCCCACCTCCAGCCTTCCTGGACAGCCGCCTTTTCCGCCCTCCTTCGACTCAAATGGGTCTCTTTTTTATACGACACACTGTTAGCCTTGAGATAATATTAACTTTGTGATCAAATATTGACTTGCGGCGCCTCCAAATCCTCTTCGTGGCCGAGCCACGCACTATCCTAACAGAGTTATGTTTGGCAGTGCGCGGCTCGGGAGGGGTGGGAGGTCGGCCGGCGAGGGGGTGGGGAGCTGGAAAAGAGAAGGTGGGTAGGAGTTGGGGACAGAGGTGCAGGCAAAGAGTCAAAAGACCAGCGGACAAAGAGAAAGAGTTCGTGGCTGTGAAGCCCGGATTCGCACAGTTCCTTCCCGGTTGGCGGTCCCTTCCCTGTACCTCCACGAAATGCCTCCAACAGCCTGCGGACTCCGCGCAGACTCTGTGTTTCACTCCCCAGGGACTAAAGAGGAGGGTATCGGTACCAAAGCCCTCCACAGGGAACCCTGGGGTAGTCTCCACTTGAAGCTGCCCCAGCAACGTCCCGTAGGTGGCTTTGGGGGAACAGAGGTAGCAACCGAAATTTCCTGGCCTTGGCACCGGCCCAAAAGGCTGACCAGAGGGTTTGGGGAGTCCCTGGGGAGAAAGAATACATTTGGGAAACCTGACTTGGTGGTTCTCCAGGGCACCTCTGTTCTAGAGTCTGGGCGAGGTGCGGGCCACATGCCCAGAACTGGAGCCCGCTGGCCACCTCTCTAAGGGCGGTCTTCCCACTCTGGGCAAACCGGACTCGCTGTTCGGAGACTGGGACCCACGGCAGGAGAGGGCTTCCCCCCTCCCAGGCCTCCCCGAAGGCAGGGAACTGGGCCCGACTGGTGGGTGTGAGGTTCGGGCACACTCAGCCTAGGTGCTAACTGTCGCCTCCTTCCCCGGGCTCTGTCCGCAGGGCTACTCTTCCGTGAGCAACATGAACGCCGGCCTGGGGATGAACGGCATGAACACCTACATGAGCATGTCAGCGGCAGCCATGGGCAGCGGCTCCGGCAACATGAGCGCGGGTTCCATGAACATGTCGTCTTATGTGGGCGCGGGAATGAGTCCGTCCCTGGCTGGCATGTCTCCAGGTGCGGGCGCCATGGCGGGCATGGGCGGCTCGGCCGGGGCGGCCGGCGTAGCGGGCATGGGACCACACCTGAGCCCAAGCCTGAGCCCGCTCGGGGGACAGGCGGCCGGGGCCATGGGTGGCCTGGCCCCATACGCCAACATGAACTCAATGAGCCCCATGTACGGGCAGGCGGGACTGAGCCGGGCGCGCGACCCCAAGACGTACCGGCGAAGCTACACGCATGCCAAGCCGCCCTACTCCTACATCTCACTCATCACCATGGCCATCCAGCAAAGCCCCAATAAGATGCTGACGCTGAGCGAGATCTACCAGTGGATCATGGACCTCTTCCCCTTCTACCGACAGAACCAGCAGCGCTGGCAGAACTCTATCCGCCACTCGCTCTCCTTCAACGACTGCTTCCTCAAGGTGCCCCGCTCGCCCGACAAGCCCGGCAAGGGCTCCTTCTGGACCCTGCATCCCGACTCGGGCAACATGTTTGAGAATGGCTGCTACCTGCGCCGCCAGAAGCGCTTCAAGTGTGAGAAGCAGCTGGCGCTGAAGGAAGCGGCTGGCGTGGGGGGCGGCGGCAAGAAGACGGCGGCGGGGACACAAGCCTCTCAGGCTCAGCTCGGGGAGGCCACCGGCTCGGCCTCCGAGACTCCGGCGGGCACCGAGTCGCCCCATTCGAGCGCCTCCCCGTGCCAGGAGCACAAGCGAGGCGGCCTGGGCGAGCTGAAGGGAGCGCCTACCTCGGCGCTCAGTCCCCCGGAGCCTGCGCCCTCGCCTGGGCAGCAGCAGCAGCAGGCTGCAGCCCACCTGCTGGGCCCGCCCCACCACCCGGGCCTGCCACCCGAGGCCCATCTGAAGCCTGAGCACCACTACGCCTTCAACCACCCCTTCTCCATCAACAACCTCATGTCCTCGGAGCAGCAACACCACCACAGCCACCACCACCACCACCAGCCCCACAAAATGGACCTCAAGACCTACGAACAGGTGATGCACTATCCTGGCTACGGTTCCCCTATGCCAGGCAGCTTGGCCATGGGCCCGGTCACGAACAAAGCGGGCCTGGACGCCTCGCCCTTGGCCGCAGACACCTCCTACTACCAGGGGGTGTATTCCCGGCCCATAATGAACTCCTCCTAAGAAGATGGCTTCTAGCCCTTCTAACTCTGGCCGCTTGGGACAAGACAAGAGAGAAGGAAGGCTGAATGGAGACTTGAGGAACCTTCTAGAAGGAAGTTGTCCACCACATGTCCAGCCTCAAAGAGAACAGTGTCTCACAACTGTCTGTATCCCTTCCCTCCTAAATAGATGGGCCACAGTGATCTGTCATTCTAAATACAGGAGGAAATGGAAATATACACGTATATAAAAACTTTTTTTAAAAAGGAGCTTTCGGTTTCCACTACTGTGTAGACTCCTGTTTCTTGAGGCACCTGCAGATTCTGATTTTTTGTTGTTGTTGTTCTCCATTGCTGTCATTGCAGGGAAGTCTGAAAAAAAAAAAAACTTTTGTGAGTGACTCAGTGTAAAACAAAAAAAAAACTTTTGTGAGTGACTCAGTGTAAAACCATGTAGTTTTAACAGAGAAACAGAGCGTTGTACTATTCTTTAATAAGAGAAAAAACAATAATGTAAAGGTCTATTGTAAATGACCAGGAGAAAGAAAAAAAATGCATTCCTATTCTAGACATGGTGAAATCCAGGTCTCGGGTCTGATTAATTTATGGTTTCTGCGTGCTTTATTTATGGCTTATAATGTGTGTTCTGGCGAGAAGGGCCAGAGTTCCACAAATCTATATTAAAGTGTTATTGCCGATTTTACCCCTTGGATCCTTTCTTCCAGATTTTCTTTCCTCCTTATTCATATTCTCTCTCTCTCTCTCTCTCTCTCTCTCTCTCTCTCTCTCTCTCAGAGATTTAAAAATTAAACAGATTTAGAAATTATTTTAAGGAGAAGGGAGGGAGACCAGGGCTATTTTTGTGGGGGAGGGTGGTGGCTGAGGGTCAGTGCTATTTACCCAACATCTTATTTAAATGCCAGAGTTGAATGGATTTACCTTAAGCAGCCACTGCTAAGACCTAGTTAACATCACAAGGTCCTTCCTAGCTTAATTTCATATTTGTCCACCTAGCTACACCTCCATCAGTCATTCCATCTAACCTCCCTAAATGCATTTCAAAATGAATGAGAGACCCCCCCAGTACCCTAAAGCTACAGCCAGTACACCAGCAAATAGAAATCAAAAGTGTTCATGTTTACTTTTTTAAGTTTTGAGGTTAACTTTACACATGATGAAACACACAAGTCTCTTATAGACCATTCCAGTAACTTTATTTATATTGATATTTTTATTGGGGGTGAAGGGGTAAAGAAGTTTGAGACAGGGTTTCCTTGAGTATCCCTGGCTGGCCTGGAACTCATTATGAAGACCATACTGACCTCAAACTTTTTTATTTTCTTGCCTCTGCCTTCCCAGGGCTGGGATTATAGACCTGTGCCATCAAGCATGGCTGAAGACCAGCAGTTTTAGTTTTAAAGTCTGAAGCAAAAGCACCCTGAACTCAACTTAGTTTTCTACCTGAATTGTTGGAAGGTGGCCCTGATGCTGAGGCCCTTGGGTCCCAGGGCTGGTTACTCTACATGAAGGGCAGGATGTTCCCTGTTTTAGCTATCTTTTATGTTTAATCTCGGACCTTCTTTCTAGTCAGAGGGCCTAGACTGAATTTGCAAAGCCTTGGTGCAGCATTTTGTCTTTCCACTCCTACCTCTGGCCCCTCCCATGACCTTCTCTTGTAACTGAGACTCCACCAGGCCTCGATCCCTTAGCCTGTGCCCACCTGACAATGAGTCTTACTCTCCTGGCCCACAGGTATTCTGCAGATGGGGGGTGGGATTGGGGGGTAGACTTAGCTAGCCTAAAGATGATGAGGCACTTATTCTGGGGAATTATGTTGAAGATTGTTCTGCAATTGGTTTTAAATGCATAGCTAAGGGTAACATCCAAATTTTCTTTTAAAAAAACAAGTTATATTAGAGAATGAAGAGGTGGTGAGGGGTGCCTAGAGGAGGCAGTGAGGAAGGACAGCTTGCCGAATGACTCAGGCAGTAGAAATCCCAGTGTCTCAAGATTGGTGTCTCCTTCTGCCAGAGAACCCTGGGTGCTATGGCAAAGCTGCTTGTTAGTACAGAAGTTCAGGTTCACAAAACAGGATGTGGCAGAGAGGATGAAAGGATATTTTATAGGCCTTCAGGAAAGTATAAAGACCCAAAATAAAATCATACCAATCATGCCACCTTTCCCCAGATGCCCCAAATTGATTATGTAACTATAGTGGAACTCAGTCTGAGATGTGCAAAGCAGCCTCACGCTGGCTTGCATCTGCCTCCCTACCAGCAGCCTGGGCTAGGGCAGGAACCAACCTTTTCTCTCTAGTCTGACTTTGGGGCCACTCTGGTGGGAAGCAAAAATGTTTTTGATGGTTAAAAATCAAGAAGTCCTGAGGCATTTCTAAACCTGGCCTGCTTTTTAAAGCCTAGCTAGATCTTTGGACTTCTTAACTGTCCTAGAATGTCCCAGATGAACCACAGCCCTGGAGACCACCTCTCAGGACTTTCTGCCACCTAGTTCTGTCTCTGTTCCTCTTCTCCAAGCTTGGCCTTTCCATGTGCTGGGGGGGGGGGTTGCTTCCCTCCTCCACCCCCGCCCCATCCCCTTTTAACATGCCACATTGTCCCGAAGAACACAAGGAAGAGAAATCACAGGGAGGAGGAATCCGCAGGCCGTAGGCTGAAATCAGGCCTTCTCTTTTGCCTGGCTAGGACACACACGTCGTGAGCTGGGCCTGAAATGTGTTTCATTATCACATAAAAGGCTCCCGTGGTGAAGGAGCGGAGAGGCAGGGCCGGGGGCTGAGTGGGAGACAATGGAGGCTGAAAGCGCTGCCCTAACCTGCTATGTTTCATATTGCACGCCCATTGTTCGAGGGTCGTTTTAAACTACTTAGCGCGCCCCCCTCCACTGATCGCGGCCGATATAGTTCTGTCCGAATACATAAAAGAATGTCGGGGAGCTGCGCTTTCGGAGGCTTTTCTGCGCTTCTGGTGTCTTCTCTGCCGCCCCCCGCCACCCTCCCCATCGGCTCCCTCTCTTAGTCTGAGTTCCTAGACTAGAAGCTCAGGAATCGCCCTCTGCCCTTTCCCCCAACTCGGCGTATTGAGGGGTGTAGCGGCTCTCCCCCCCGCCTTTTTCTTCCTGTTCCGAGCCTTCCGCGCGCGGGTTTAAGCAACCGTGATCTGTGAATAAACAAAGTCAGTAAACAACCGAAAAAAACATTCTAGATCCGAATTCCAGGAGGGTAAACTTTCCATGCCACGTCACACTTCAGCAAATTTGCACAGATATTATATTGCCTCCCCCTCCTTTATTATTCTTTTTTTTTCCAGGATCCCATTGTACTTAACTGAATTTTATAACGCTGATCGATATCTTGGTAAAATATTCATTTTTAAACTAGCGGGCAGTGAAATCTTTGCTTTGTGTGCTAAAGTCAACAGTCGCTCGGTTTGAGCTCAAATAAATGCGGGGATGCCTCGGCTGGGAGCAGTCCGCCACCTCCCTCCCAGCGCTGGACGCTCTGTCTCCCGCCCGCCCTCCAGCCGGCCACCACAGGTAGGGAACGCGCCCACTCGGGGGCCACGCCCGGGATCCCCACACAGAGTCCGCCCCCCACTCGGGTCCACATATCCCCCTCCCCCAGGCAGCCTTTCTCCCTCCCCGGAGCTTGAGCGCGCCTTTGAAGGGCTGGGGGTGGGGGTGCGCTCAGTGGATGTGGACCCCGGGGGTTGGGAGGTAGCCTTTTTGGGGGGCGCATGGGAGATTCGAGAGTGCACCGCCGCATAGAATGAGCGGTCTCAGAATTTAAAACCCCGAGCAGTTTCCTAGGAGTTTTGGTGGGGCCTCGAGGCAATGGGAAACCAGGACCAATCGGTCCCCTACAGCCACTTGGGCTGGGAATTCGAACAGAGGGCCGCTTAGTTTCCCGAAGACTGTGGGGTGGGGGTAGGGGGGATAAGGCACTGGAGTATGCGTGATGCAGGGAAGTCTGGAGAGTCAGAGGCCCCGCGTGAGGACGCATCCCGCTCTCTGCCGCTTCTCAGACCCAGGCAGGCACGGGCAGTTCCCTGCCATCCGTCACTTTAGCTCTCGCCGCGGGGAGCGGCGGCGGTCTTTACGCTCGCTGTGCAGCTCGGGGTAGGGAGCCATCCGGGTCAGGAGCTGGGCCGAGCGGAAAGTCAAAATACTCCGCGAGGCCATTTATCACCTCAATTCCACTGCCGCCCAGGACCTCCTCTGTCCTTGGCTGCTCTGTGGCAGGAGCACGCCCCAGAATGCTAAACTCGACTGTGAAGGACAGACCAGACTCAAAGCGCGTCTTTCCGCCGCCTGCGGGGAGGTGCCGACCTCGCGGAGCTGTTTCCTCTGCTGAGGGTTGAAACTATGGAAAGCTAGGGCAGGGTACAGCAAAGGTGTCTTTTGAGTCAAGGGTGTGGCTCAGTGTTCGGTAGGCTCTTGTCTAGCATCTGTGAGGCCCTGGGTTTGATGCCCATCAGCGGGGGGGGGGGGGGAGAAAAAGAATAAAAAGTGTCTTTTCTTTCCTGGTGTCCACCAGTTTCTCAAACTTGCGTTCTCCCTGGGGAATCTTTGCTTTAAACGCCTTGATATTCGGCGTTGGATGAAGCTCAAGTCCAGCTAGGTTTATTCTGGGTCTTTCGACAGGTGATGAGACACTTTAGACCAACAGCTCAAGGACACAGTCACCCCAACTGGAAATCTATTCCAGGCTCCCCTGCCATCTCCAGATCGCAAGCCCAGGGAGCAGTAAAGAGTCTCCAGGGCCCTCTGCGTCCCTGTTATGAGGCTAGTTCTATAAGTGGGGACTCTGTTGTCCTTCCTGGCGCCCTAGGCTGCTTGTCCTCTTTCCCCGCGCCCAAGGCGGACTGGGACGGGTCTGCAGTCCTCCAAGCTCGGGCTCAGCCTTGCCTAGCTGGTTGTCTTCCTGGAACAAGATTGAACGCTTGCAGGACGTACGGCGAGGCTAATCGTTTTTAAATAATTAATGCCTCCCGGTTCTGCTGGTAATGCAGGGCTTCGAATCCGTCAATTACTTGTCATTAGACGTGTGTCGCCCCACGGCCTTCCCTCGGGCCTTTGATGGCGCCTGGTCACCTAGCCCAGCCCACTCCACAGTGGAATTAAGAGGTGCCCGGCTTTTGAGAGCCGGGTGCGGAGTAGCCACAGCCCTCAATTCAGTGCGAGTTTTGAAAGAAAGACCCTTGCTGAAGAGATGTAATCTTTCAAATGGCCAATTTAAACGCCTGATCTTTATCGCCTGCCTCCTCGCCTCCTGCCGGCTTTACAAAGAGAAGGCAGTCCGCTGTGCTTTGGGGGTCTTTTAATGCGGAGGTGGAGTGGGGAAAGCGAGAGATAAGGCTTAATAGGGCCTAGGGGGACCCGTTCGTCCGAGCTGGCACCTGCAAGTACCTTGAAGCCACTGATTTTTTTCCAAGCATGGGGGCCTGGGGTGCTCAGCAAAGGACAGGGAAAGGGCAGCGACAGCTGGTCTTCCGGAACCTGCAAACATGAGGCGACCTCCAGAACCTCAGCAGATCCTTTAATGTAAAGCCTCCTTTTTCAACAGACAACGAAGGAACAGCTCAGGGTACCCCCAACCCCCTGCTACCTTAGACTGGGAGATGCGGTGCGGCGGGACTGGCTAAGATACACACACACACAGACACACACACACACACACACACACACTCCTCATAGGACAGACCCCCCCCCAAAAAATCCCCACCCTAACAGTTCCAGCCCTGGCAGGCTGTCTCTGCGGCGACAAAAGAACCGGGGTTCAGACCTGAGGTGTCTCTGTAAGGTCGACAGAGAGGACGTGGCCCTGGCAGCCGCACAGTAGCAACCAGGGCCAGCCAAAGGTGCGCGAGTGAAAGGAAAACTTTAAAAACCAGAACAAGCGGGAAAGGCACCAAAAAGTTTGCAACTCGATTTAATTTCTCTTCCTGCCACTTCCGGAAGTAAGAAAAGGGTCTGGGGCCGGGACCTTATCAGTCCACCCTCTTTGAGCAAAAACAATGAGCTGTCTCTCGGGCCCTCTATGGGCCCTCTACGCTGCAAAGGCATCTACCTCCTCCGTGGCTTTCATGCCGACTCCGTCCGCTCGCACCAGTTTTTCCTCTGATAGAAGAGAAAGAGGATGAGGTAAAAATCTGGAAGAAGTGAATGAGAAAGGCGGAAGTCCACCCTGTTTTTTAGGCCTTAGTCTCCACTTCAGACTGCCTTTCTAGGCAGAAATCCCTGATTAGAATTTTTCCAGAAAAAAAAAAAGTATGAGAAGTGCCAGATATGGGTAGGCACCTCCAGAGTCCAGCAAACTAAATATTAAGGAATAGAAGCGTCCCAAGGGAGCTCAGCGGTACTAACTCCCATCCGGCCTCTTCTCCCTTTGACAAAACTCCCAGGGAGTTCCTCACCCTGGATCACCCCAGGGGTTGCTTCGCAATCCTAAATCCTAGGGCATCTTCCCTTTGGGCTCACAGCCTTCCTGCCCACTCTCTTATCCCTTTTCTCTTTTCTTCTTTAAAACAATCATGTGTGTCCCCCTCGCTCCCTCCCCCCATTGTATTTGTTGATGACCTAACACGCTCACACCAAAAGCCACACACAGAAAACCAACAACGTGGGATGGGAGGAGAGACCAATTATGACTGAGGCTAACAAGCCCGGAACACCCAAGTAGAGGCTGGCTGTCTCCTGGGAGACTGATGGAGGCTTATTTTACAAGCTGTAATTCCTTCTTGGTCCCTAACACCAGACTGGAAGTGATGCCTCTTCTCCCCTCCCCCTCAGCCCTGTACCCTTGGGGCCAATTCCAGATCTTTTGTAAATCTTTGGGAGACTCTCCCTGGACAGGTAAAGAGGGCAGGGATGATTTTTAAACTTATATTCACGATAATATGCTTATTTTACGCCAGCATCTCTTCCTCTGAGCTCTGAGATGTCCTTGTGACACCCACCTGCACCAGTCAGATGTCACTGTTACCTTCAACCTCCCACCAGGCTTCACATTAAAAATCTCTCTCTCTCTCTCAAAGTGGTTTCTCTCTCTCTCTCTCTCTCTCTCTTTCATTTTACTGATAGATAATACATCAGGTATCGAGGAGTTCTGAAAAAAAAAAACACAAATTAAGTTACACTATTTATTCACAGGGTCTCACTGAAGGTGTGCAACTGGGTTTAGCCCATCTTACTAATTATCATCAGTGATGTTCTCAACAGTGTCAGTCGAGGATGTCAGCAATACTATATTCACTTGACTTAAACATCTTTAGCCTAGAAGGGAAATTTCAACATCGAAAACAAGTGCAAAAGAAAAATCTTGGTGTATTCTGTACCTTGGAACTTTGGAGTGAATTACTTGCTGTTCTTTAGCTCTGTTTGATTTGTGATCCCACTTATACTTGCTTAAATAGTTGAGAGCCAAATTATTTTCCCTCACAGGTAAATCGGTTTTTCCATTATTTTATTTATTTGAAAACAATAAGACATAGCTTCAAGAATACAGAGATATTTGGGGGCCGAGTTAGATCATGAGCCATACAAACCAAAAGAGAACGGCCTGTGTGTGATTTTTTGTGTTGCTATTTCTTTAAAAATATGACCTTCATTTATTATTCTCATTTTGCAAAACAGGCAAATGTGTTTTTTGGCCACTGTTTGCTTGCTTGCTTAAAACAAAGAATATCAAACTTCGAATTTGAAATCATGAATGTTAAAAGCATGGTAGTCGAGAACATAGAATGTAATTTTGAGATATGTTTGGAGGAAAAGGCTAGGAAGGAGTGGAGGCATGAGGTAGGTGGGTGGAGAGTAGGAAAGGTACAGGAACAGATCGCATTTTCTGTGAAGGAACAGGGTGAAGTGTCAGGCAAGGCAGGACCTGGGTCATACCTAGCTCTGTAAGGAGGTCCACGGCATTTTTAACAAAGAAATGGGGATGTAAGGGTTGGGAGGATGTAGCTCAGTGGTAGAGTTCTTGCTTAATGAGAAGTTCCATCCCTATCACAGGAGACAGGTGTGGGGGGGCATCTTATATAAAACGTACAATTTTGCTGAAGCTGTTGGCTTTACCCTTTAAAGCTCATTCTGAATCTAAAATAAAGACGAACAACTTCACCATGTACTGTTTCTTCTGCAGTTCTGAGCTACAGAAAACTGAGCAGTCCACAGGCTAAAAGGAGTTATAGTTTCAATCCTGTGTCTTCCTGGTTGAGAACATTTGCCCTCTACCCAGAATACTGGGCCCATCTCTTGGCAGGAATTTTGCCTTTTGTTCTGTCACCTTGGTGTTTCTAACTGCCCACCCCCACCCCCACCCCAGACACAGGGCATCCTCTCAGCCTTGTTTCTTTATCACAAGTCTATTCAGCCCCACTCCCACTAGGGGGAGGGGGCACAGATGTCACACACTCCGTGAAGTGTGTTCTTCCTGATGGAAGTCAGAATTCATGGGTGATGGGCCTAGACCTTAAAGAAGTTTAGGACCTTGATCCACTTGCCACGTTCAGCGCTGAGCTCTCAGTTCTCTGACAGGC